CTAGCGATGGCCTCCAATCTAGTAGGGATGGCCTCCAACCTACTAGGGATGGCCTCCAACCTACCCTCCAATCTACTAGCGATGGCCTCCAACGGGCGTCCGGAATTTGACCCACAACCATGAGGAAATGTGTGAGTCGTTGATTGGACTTTGTGCGGTGCAAAAGCCAAGGCAGCCAACTCTCCGGCCACCTTAGCCAGCTCTTGCGAGACCAGACAAGCTTTACTAGGTGCAGCACTTCTTCTCTTCTTGCAAGCAAGTTTGATAACTTTGAATTTGCTGAGGCCTAGTTCTGCTTCTTTGGTACTGCCAAGCATGAAAGCCTTTGGTCATTGTTCAAAACATTGGCCATTTTTCGCTTTTGTTCCTAGGAGGCGCCTGATTCTCTAGCATTGTTCATTCATTGGATTGTTTTTCAAGAATTCAGTCTGCAGTCTTGAACCAATTGTTTCTTCTTTGCTCATCAGTGCAGCCAAGCTCTAAAGCCATATTTGCAGAGTTGCTTTGCTATTTGCGCCAAGCGCAACGAGGGCAAACCGACTTCATGGCAGCTAGGAATTATGCCAACTTCATGCCAAGCATGATCATCTCGCCCGAGCTTCGGAGCTCGAGGTCTTTTGCTAATATCAGGCCTACGTTGTCGACGTAGTTCGTAGCAAACCAAGTCTTAACACCCATGCGGACGACAAAAGGACACCCATTGGACTGCATCGCAGTCCAGTCACGCAGCACAGCCAGTAAAGTGTTCCTGTTGATGTTGGCCGGTAGCCATTTCTTTTTGCTCAAGATGGATGAAATAGACCTGGAAGAAAGGTGGTTCCCTGGCTGATATCTCATTTTATCCCGGCTGGTTGGCAAGTAGCCACTTGAGGTTAGAGGTGGACTCCAACTCCCGATGCTGCTTCGGATGTCGCTGGAGGTACCCCTGTGACAACAAAAGCCTGCTACACTTCTGCACTTGGTGCTTCTCCAGTGCTTCTCCTGTTTCTCAGGTACTTGGTGTACGACACTCAAGCAGATGCGACCTGTTTGGAGGATACTTTCTTTTTGTTGTCATGCTGGGCCTCACACGATCGACCTCATGGTGAAAATTCCTTTTGCCCTTCATCCTATTCCGAGTTGGTGTGATTTCAATCCATTTGGCGACGCTGGCAGGAGTGCTGGTGATATGCTAAGTATGCCCTCGGCGAGCCTCGTATTGTCTATGCCATGCCATCTATGCCACCATTCAACGAATACCTCTTTTTGTTGTGGTGCGTTCTGAGCACCGCCTTGCAGCGTCGAATGTCCTTGAGGTTTGGATGGTCTTCCTGGGCGGAGCATTCTGGATATGGCACGCATTGACGTGACAGGCATAAACCCAAGTGGCATTTGCCTTGCAAAATTGCCAAATGCATGATTGCTACATTGCCCAGTGCAGGCGTCGTCAAAGGGGACAAGTGAAGCATTGCCAGCTTCAGATGCCGTGGTAGATGCTGAGAAACCCCTCTTTGCTTCTAATTTCCGAGTTAGGGTCACCAAGACTGAAATGTGTCTGGTGCACTCCAGCTATGTACATAGAAGAGGATTCAAGGAACCTCCAAACTGCCTGCAAACCGATCACTGGCGCATTGGTGCTTTTACACAAACACCTGTGGATTCAAACACCACTTTCAAGTCTTCGTTTGATGTGACTTGCTCCAAGACTTGCTCTACCGATTTACTCTTGTTACAGGCAGTCCAATGACCGGACCGCCAAGCCTTGGAATGTCCGGATGCTTGGAATGCGGGCAGCATCGCTCACTTAGCGATGGCCTCCAACCTAATTGGAATGGCCTCCAACCTAATTTCGGTGGCCTCCAGCCTAACAGCAATCGCTCACTTTCCTTTCGAAGCTTTCTTCTTCCCTTTCTATTTCGGTGGTGGATGCGATGTCTTGACAGAAGCAAAGGCCTCAGCCAATGGTCACCCCTGGAGCGCCGAGCTTTAGGCCTAAGAAATGACGAATTGAGTTATGATGAAAGCTTTGTCGTTAACATACTTTGTTTCCTATCGCTTTCCTTCCTTCCTTCCTTTCTTTCTTTCTTTCCTTCTTTCTTTCTTTCTTTGCTTTTCTATCCTTTGCTTTTCTATTGTTTGCTATTTTTCTTTTCTTTTCTTTCCTTTCCTTTGCTCTTCTTGATGTCCAGCATATTCTGTAGAGGCCTGGCTTTCCAGGCTGTTCTGGACAAGGTGGGTGTGCAAAGAATCAATGCGAAGACAGACCTCTTTGGATTCTTCTTTGTGTGTACTGGCCCAGGCTTTTCGTGTGGACCTCCGTTTCCTGGAGCGCTGCTTCAAGCTCAACTTTTGCGAAAGCTCGTTACAGCTACTGTACTGTAGTCGACTGTAGTATGGCTAAAGCTGCACTGCCAAGGCGACCTGGAATTTCGCTTGGTCAGGCAGGATGTGAACCAAAAGTGTTGCAACTTCTGCTGTTGAGTGATGAGGCTGCAATGCTGGGCCCGCCAAACGGCCAGAAGGCCAGCTGATTCAAAACAAGGTAAACCGGAAGCATTCTTCTTTAGGAGCAGGTTTCAGCAAAGAACACGAGTTCTTTTTGCATGTCGCGGAACTTGAAAGGCCCTACTAGTCCTTCGTCCGGAGGATGATATAGAGGTCCCGGTCGTTGAGGAGAGCATATTTGGAAACTTGGATGTTTCATGTGTGCAAAGTCAAAGTGTCCTCCAAACAACACACCATCGGACCTTGAAAGGACTGGCAGGATGATCCAGAGAAGGCATCCGGCGTCCAGAAGACGTCTCTATGCACTGCAAAACACCTTTCAGCAATGGAACGACATCGAACGCACTTGGATGGCAAACGAATTGGGAAGGGTTCGTTTGAAGCAATGAAGACATTGGGCAAAGCCCTAAAACAAGTAAACAACACAGCAGGTGGAGGAGTCAGAGCTGCTGTCTCCACAGGCAATGTTCCAAGTCACTTTCTTCTCGTTGAAAAGTGTTTGGAGGTGAATATGATTTTTTGAGGATGAAAAACTGCCACCTGAGCTGCTTGAAAGCTGCCTCCTGCCTTGTGCTGAAATGGTAATGTGTTTGATCCATTCATTTGTCTACAGAGGTTCACCTTTCGGATGCGTTTGGTTAGTGCTCTCCCAGGCGATGGACTCATCCACTGCAGAATGGAGAGCCTGAGCAGGGTCGCTTACGAACCTAAATATGTTGTACTAATTGTACTACGCTACCTTTCAGAAAGGTTTGTAAGAATTGATTGGCTGAGGAAGCTGCCCAAGGGAATTGAGGCAGTGGCCAGACTCTCAGATCTCATGTTAGGGCGACACATATCACTTGTTCTATGCAGCCACATTCAGCCTGCTTTCCAAGCATCATCCAGCATGCTGAGACCGCCCGGAAGATCTACCGACACCGGCAGCAGCAGATCGTCGATGCCTTTGACAGGCTTGCAGCTGTTGACATCTGTGGTTTCATGCTGTGAATGGTCTGCCTTCTACGTCTAGATAGACATAGATAGCATCTCTCCCTCTCTCAAGACAAAAACATCTGGAGGCTGTTCACTGACGTGGTGGACAAAGCCCTCTTTGAGTTGGCCAAAGAGGCGCACACAACCAGTTTATGTAGACAGTTAGAGCAAAACTTTTTCGAAGAAAGCAAGGCCTCCACCCGAGCTTGGAACTTCCTCATGTTATATTCCTAAAGCAGCCATTTGTACAAGTGCTGCAGCATGCTATTGCAACCATTGCCTTGCGCTGAAAAACCACCAACATCCAAATCCATCCTTGTTTTTCATTGAATTCTAAAATCCATTATCTCTTTTTTTGAGTTCTCTTTGTTTTTGTTGAAATTCACCTCATCCCTGTGGACCCCGTAGTGTGGACTCTCAAGGTAGAGTAAAATAGCCCGCTTACCGGACTAGCAGGGTTAGCTAGGTAGCTAGTGAAGTTAGAGCTGATCCTGTAAAATACAGGTTATCAGCCGTAGGCTAACTAGATTAGAGCTATGGACCCGATGGATGACGACGTCGCACCGAACTCGTACAGAAGTGGCTTTGACATCGTTCCGAGTATACCCAATAGTTTGGACGCAGTTCAACGACATGAACATGCAGTCGCACAAGTGGCGGCAATGGATCCAAGGGTAGCTTCGGAGGTATACCAAGAGATGCTAAACAGTGGTGGTAGTGTTACTCTCCAAGAGGCGACACAAGCTACCCTAGCAGGTATGCCGTCAGCCGCCGTAGCTGGTGCGCCAACAGTAAACAACTTGTTGGCAATGACCAGGTTCAACGTCGTCAACCTGAACGCTACATCAGGTGATGAGGAACTACGACGGTAACTACAGCAACATGAGTTGTTGCTCAACGAGCAAGCTAGGCGTGAAGCTGAATTCGAAGCGCTACGTTTCAGGCACATCTACGAGAGGGAAGCTTCTGAATCGATAGCAGCAACAAAGGCCGCAGCAGAGCAAGCAATGCTGAATTTGCAACAGAGAGCTCAACAACAGGAACATAATGTTCAGCAGTTGGCTCAGCATCACGACAACGTTGCGATCAAAAGGTTGCAAGGCACGTTGGAGGAGCAACGAGAGCATTTTCAGCAGAGATTAGCTCAGGCTACGTCTGCTCATGAGAAGGTTCTACAGGAAAAGAATGCCTTGGCAGAGGAAGGCAATGCTTTTGTCGAAAGGATGAGAACTGAACACCGGCAGTACACAGAGCAGCAAGAAGCAAGGCTAAAGGCAGCTTTAGAGGCAACAGACAAAGCTCGATCCACATCAGCTGAAGAAGCCCGTGTTGCTATAGATCTTGACTTCAAGCGTGAGGAACTGTCCAGTTCATTGGCAATTGCACAAGCAAAGATCAAAACACTCCTTGGTGAAATGTAGTCGACTAAGTCACAACATGCGGTTGACCGGGAAACCCAAGAGCAAACAATCATTGAACTCCGCAAGGACAATGCTTTGTTGAAGGGTGAGATGGATGAACTCAGACGTGTTGTACAGGCCTTATCGGACAGGGAAGAGGAGCGCAAAGAAGTCGAGCGCAAGGCTCAAGCCGCTAGCCCAGCTAAACCAGGGCCGCTGCAACCCGAGCAACCTCCAACTCATGTTCAACCGAATGTTCATCCCATTGGTCAACCTCGTTCATTTGAACCTCTTCGTACGGAAGGCACAGTTCCTGCAACCCTAAAAGGTTCGCCCTCAGACCCAACTGGAATTCCTCTGAAGACAGCTATGGATGCTTCAGCAACAAGTCGCAACACAGGATTTCCTTCAATGTTCTCTGGGACAGGGGCGCAAGCAACGGAACAGGCCACCGCCTCTACTGACAGGCAACAGTTTAAGCAACCTGATCCGCGGATGGATTACAAGATGAAGTCGGCGCAGTACAACTTCAGCGACGA